AACAAAAGGGGATCACCAGCTTGTTCTTGTTATTCCAATAATCGTATCGCACGAGGGACAAAACATATTTGGTTTCCATGGCAATGACATCAGACTTGAAGAGGTTAATTAGGACACTCAAAGACGCTTTACATAAAATCAGTAGTTTCCATTCATGCATATGTTCACACAATGATGAATATAAGCTAATGGATTGTAGCCACAGATGTTCTATCAAACCCCAGCAGGAAAGGTGGGTGAAATGTCTTGACCAAGGACACAACAGAGGCCGGCCATTGCAGAGCAAACTCCTACCACTGTCACCACCATGACAAGCATCATATGTGTTCATGTGTGTCTGTGTCAAAATGACCATCAATCAAACTGATTTTCAAAAACAAAATAATTATTTCTTTGTCAAAATGAGCTTTTATGACTTTGGTGTCCAATTCTTGGCAAACTGCATAGTTTGTCCATTTTTTGGAAAAATGCCCAAACATATTTAGTTTCCATGGATACATTGGATACAAGTGTCATTCAGAAAATCATAACACTTTTAATACAAAGTTGATATTATTCAAAATATCTTTGTTATGACAACAAACACATTTGTTGTCATAACAACAATTATGTTATAATAACAAATGTCAAAACATAACAATTATGACTTTTGTTGTCATCACAGTCTTATTCATAACCTGTCAAATAAAATGTTACCACATTTTTAGTGAGATTTTGGGGTTTTAACATTGCTTAAATAAAATGTTAAGCTTAAAGGTTATTCTGGTTTTAGAAGATGTGTTTTTTTTTTATTCAGATTTTTGGACTAAGAAGTCTGTGCTTGTTCAAGGTTTCAGAAAACGACTCAAAAACACATTTGCTCTTCTTGGATATGTTGTTTGAAATAAAACCTTAAAACTTGAAGTTTAGAAACGTTTTTAGATATACATATCTTTTAGATATAGTCATTTAAAAATGCTAACGGAAACATACGACTTATTTTTTTATTATCTTATAGTGTTAGAGTTATGTAAGCAGTAATTTAAGTTTAATAGTAATAAATGGCTCATCTATCTTGCTTTGGCTATAAAAATAAAACTTACCTGCTGAGCAGCAATAAAGATTTGGGAGTTATAGGAGGGTAAAGTGAGTAACTGTTGTGGTATTTTAGTGTTCTTTTTAAACATTGCTTTGGATTTTTGTGAAGGTCTTGATACTGAACTATAATGTTTTTCCTGTTTTCCTTCACAGCTCTTAGTGTAGCGCTTCCAGCAGATGGATCTCCAACGTCGCAGGAACATCAGGATGATGGTAAGGAAGTTGGTAAGGTGTGGTCAAATGTCGACAAGTCAGACAACATGGTTTCTGGAGATCATGGAGAGGAGTCGAGGTGTAGTTCTCCTCAGCAGTCTGTTGACTATACTAACAGCTTTAGTGGTAGCTCCAGTCAAGATGACTGTTCTAGCAGTTCCAGTGATAGCTGTTTTAGCAGGTCTAGTGGTAGCTCTACTACCAGCTACAGTGGTAGCTCTGCTCCTATCTCCAGTGAAGAAGAGGTAGGTAACGAGTATACTAGCAGCTACGGTAGTATCAGCACTACCAGCTGCAGTCCAACAGTGGACCGTCCTTACGCTGAGCTGGAAATGGCTCAGAAGCTTCAAGAGGGCATTTCTCAATTGACCTCACTTGAATCTTCACATGGATTTGAGAAGCGGGAAGAGCCCACTTTAAGTCCAGACGACTCCAGACTTATTGGTACCTCGCACCATCAGGTAGGTTTGGTAGGGGATGTGACTCGTGTGCCATCTGTCACCGGCTTAAACAGAAAGAGGACAAAGGACAGCGACTCTGAAGAGGAGCCCCCTGCCAAGAAGACTAGGGACACTGTTGCAGAAGAGGAGCTCTCTTTCAAGAGGACCAGAGGTAGTGAAGATGCTGAAGAGGAGCCCCCAGCAAAGAGGTCTAGGGATAGTGAAGATGCTGAAGAGGAGCCTCCAGCCAAGAAGTTGAGGGAGAGTGGTTATGCTGAAGAGGAGCCCCCAGCCAAAACCCCCTACGAGAGTCAACCTAGAGATGGGCTCCCCTCCAAGAGAACCAGGGACAATGGTGCTGAAGAGGAGATCCCGGCCAAGAGATCCAGGAACAGCGATGATGAAGAGGAATCTTTTCTGCGTTCCACCACAAATACGTTGAGTGAGGATCCGGTTTTGTCATCCCCTCGCCTCAGTCCCTCTCCCTTGCCATTCTGGGTGGATCCATTTTTTCACCCATCAGTCTTTCACCTAAGAGTGCATGTGAGGATCCCTTTCTGCCCTCCCCTGTCTTCAGTCCCTCACCAAGATTGCCCTGTGAAGGTCCCATTGCATCAGTTCATTCCATCAGTCCCCCAGTCGGTGAAGATCCTGTTTGTCATCCCCTGTCCTCAGTCGTCCACAAAGGATAGAGCGTAAGGATCCCATTGTGTCTTCACCTGTCGTTTGTCCTTCACCCTCAACAAACTGCAAGTTTCAAAGTTCATCATTCCCTTGCATGTGTGCCTGGATGAAGTCTCAAATGGACAAAGAAGAGGAGCCAGGACCTTCAACATCTGGAATTGGATCAGACAGAGCTCGAGGAAGAGTGAGTTCCGGACAAGTGTGGTTTAGACCTCGTTACGACTTGTCAAGCGATGACTCTGATTAGATTTGGATTTTGAAAATCTGAAGACCTACCAGACAAGTTCCATTACAATACCATAATTTTTCTGTTGTTTTTGTGAAAGCCTATGGCATTCTAGCAGGACCGAGGATGCCTTAGGTAGCGTCTTGCGCCGGGGCTTTTCTTTATCCCGCTGCTAGATTTTTTATTTTAGACGTTGAGGATTCTGGCAGGACCGAGGATGCCTTAGGTAGCGTCTTGCGCCGGGGCTTTTCTTTATCCCGCTGCTAGATTTTTTATTTTAGACGTTGAGGATTCTGGCAGGACCGAGGATGCCTTAGGTAGCGTCTTGCGCCGGGGCTTTTCTTTATCCCGCTGCTAGATTTTTTATTTTAGACGTTGAGGATTCTGGCAGGACCGAGGACGCCTTAGGTAGCGTCTTGCGCCGGGGCTTTTCTTTATCCCGCTGCTAGATTTTTTATTTTAGACGTTGAGGATTCTGGCAGGACCGAGGATGCCTTAGGTAGCGTCTTGCGCCGGGCTTTTCTTTATCCCGCTGCTAGATTTTTCATTTTGGATGTCAAGAATTCTACTTGAACAGGCAATGCTGATTTTATTTGCTTTTAATCAAAGAATGATGAAATGCTGGGGGAGGCTAATTTAAATTCTGAGGAACAAGAGCATTCTGCTGAACAAAAATCCTAAAAGGAGTCGGACATGGCTGGTGAATAAAAGATAAATGCTAAAAGAAAGAAGACATCGTGACAGGATTAATACTAAATCTAAAACAATCTTGCTGGGTGAAAATCAAACTTAAAAACGATTAAGACAACGTGGCTCGGGACACTGGAATCAATAAAGTTGAGAACACTGCTGCAAATTTAAGACATGAAAAATCAAAAATGGAGATACATATAATCGGTTGGGCTGTGGTATAAACGGATTTAAATTGCGCTTTTAAAGTTATAACCCTTCTGGTCTGGACATTGTAAACTGAGGCGTTTTTACGTATGAAATAACTACGACGGCGACAGTAACAACAGGAGTCAATTCAAATGTTCAAAGATGACAAATTGGAGAGAGAAATGGGCAGGTCCTTTGGATTCCGGAAATGAACTGTTGATCCATGGATCAATCATTTATCAAGTCAACATGTTAAAATGTCGTTGAACGCACGTGATAATGGTTATAAATATTGGTAATGCTGCTGGGCGTCAAACCTTAAATCTCTTAGGACTGAGAAGAGACAACGCTTTTTGGGACAAATTATCTCTCAACTCTTCTGCGGACAAATGAAATATTTCAGGTGGTGAGAAATCGAAAAGTTTTGGGACCAATATGATGCCATGGTGGACAAATTAAAATATACAGGAATTAAAAAAACCCGCGGAGTACAAACTAACATCTTTAAGGATAAAAGAAAAAGACAGGTAAATATTTGGTTAAAGCTTGGTACAGTGACTTGGACCACCATAGATATTTTCTGAGGACCACCAGGAGCTGCAGTCACCTTTCAAGTAAGTCAACAGTAAGTATTAGTCCCAGACAGAGCAGCGCGCAGTGAGACTGCTTCTTCCAAGATTCTCTGTGCTTGTCTCAGAGTGCAGGAGCGGTCCTTGCCCTCACGATGCTCTCTAATATAGTAAATTGTCCTCACCTGTTCCTTCATTAATCCACTCTCCCAGTTTTAATCTTTCAGGTTTTAGCTGCTCTTCGCTGGATTTTTCCATCGTTGTCCATGTGGTTCCTGTCCTTGTGGTTCCTGCTTGTAAGTTTTTGCATTCCACAACTCATAATACTGCTTGCCTCCTGCTGGCATTGGGGAGCATCAGCTTTACTAAATAAACAAAAAGAAATTCACTATTACTGGAAAGTGTTCCTCCATTATTCAAATTTACACTAAGAAAGGAAAGTTTTCCTGATAACGTTTCATATTAGAGATGTAATCAAAGCATCAAGCCAATAAGAAATTAGAAGACAGAGGAGAACATAGACAAAATTTATGTTTTAGGGATTTAATTAAGAACTTTCATTCAGAAGGAAAGTAGAGAACATAAAACAAATATGTTCATATTTACATGTTGCAACACAGAAAGATCACAAAAAGAGAATTGACATTAAAAAATACAGACACTAGTCTCTGATCCTGGGTCCAGACGTTTCAGATCTCTGATGTTCTGATCATCCCAGATTGGATCTTCTGACCCTGGAATCCTCCATCTTCAACACCGTCAGTCAGATGAAGGAAGATTATCTCATGAAGTCAGATAAGAGAACCCAGTTGACAACAAAAGTAAGAACATTTATATCTACACAACATAAGTAAACATTTCAGATGTAGCTGCATAGAGTTGAGCTGAAATTTAGAATCTGATTCTGTTTTCCTCTTTGACTCTGTTGTCTTTTCTCTTTGTTTCATTTGTCCGTCAACTCATGTCACATGACTTGAGTTGACCAACAATAAAAGCAGAAGACCTGCTCCACCTGCTGTTCTACTGGTTGTAAGAGATTGTTGGAAAGGTGAGGACATGATGATGACTTGATCAGAAAGTCTCCTTCTATCATATGATATTTAGACTCAATGTGTGTCTGATTCTGTGTTGATTCTCCTGCATCACCAAGACAAGACAACAACACTGGACCAATGAGGAGAGAGGAGACACAAAATCCTGCTGGAAATCCAGAGAAGTTTTCTGATGCATCATTGGGACAGCTGAGGACGGGATGCAGAACAAAGAGACTGAGATCATGTGAAGTGGATCCTCATCAACCTGCAATCCTCCACCTTCAACACCACCAGTCAGGTGGAGGAAGATAAGAGAACCCAGTTGACGAAAAAAAGTAAGAACATTTATATCTACACAACATAAGTAAACATTTCAGATGTAGCTGCATAGAGTTGAGCTTAAAGTTAGAAACTGGTTCTGTATGCTGTCCATGCATATTTTTCCTCTTTGACTCTGTTGTCTTTTCTCTTTGTTTCATTTGTCCGTCAACTCATGTCACATGACTTGAGTTGACCAACAATAAAAGCAGAAGACCTGCTCCACCTGCTGTTCTACTGGTTGTAAGAGATTGTTGGAAAGGTGAGGACATGATGATGACTTGATCAGAAAGTCTCCTCCTATCATCTGTTATTTAGACTCAATGTGTGTCTGATTCTGTGTTGATTCTCCTGCATCACCAAGACAAGACAACAACACTGGACCAATGAGGAGAGAGGAGACACAAAATCCTGCTGGAAATCCAGAAAAGTTTTCTGATGGATCAGGGGGACAGCTGAGGACGGGATGCAGAACAAAGAGACTGAGATCATCTGAAGTGGATCCTCATCAACCTGCAATCCTCCACCTTCAACACCACCAGTCAGGTGGAGGAAGATAAGAGAACCCAGTTGACGAAAAAAGTAAGAACATTTATATCTACACAACATAAGTAAACATTTCAGATGTAGCTGCATAGAGTTGAGCTTAAAGTTAGAAACTGGTTCTGTATGCTGTCCATGCATATTTTTCCTCTTTGACTCTGTTGTCTTTTCTCTTTGTTTCATTTGTCCGTCAACTCATGTCACATGACTTGAGTTGACCAACAATAAAATCAGAAGACCTGCTCCACCTGCTGTTCTACTGGTTGTAAGAGATTGTTGGAAAGGTGAGGACATGATGATGACTTGATCAGAAAGTCTCCTCCTATCATCTGTTATTTAGACTGAATGCATTTATTCTCCAGCATCTCATGTTTAAGTTCAGATGTTGAATATTAAAAAAAAATTACATACATTATACCATTCTGGTTTCTTATCCCAGATTCAGATTCTGCAGATCAATAATGTTTCTGATCATCCCAGGTTGGATCTCCTCAACCTACAAACCTCCTTCTTCAACACCACTAGTTAGGTGGAGGAAGATAAGAGACCCCAGTTGAGAAAAAAAGTAAGAAAACATATTTTTACCCACCTAACAATTTAAAATGTGGATGAAATTGAGATCACTGTTAACAGTAACCTCAGTTACCTAAGAATATACATTTCTTCTGTCTTCAGTATTATGTATTTTCCAGGCACATAGTGCCTATGTTACCTTCAGCTGTTATAGAAATACTGTATATATAAAAAATGACATAAAATACATTTTACATCATAATTTAACATCTAGAAATTGGGACTTTTCTTGCATTCAGCACATCATCACTTTGCCGCTCAAGAAGACCTTTAATAAGGCTGCAGCTCCAACAATGAGCTTTTTAGACATAGACTTGGTAAAACAAAGATTTTTACACCGTCGACATGCAAGATTAAAGGATTTCTCAAACTTTCACAACAGAATTGAGGCAACACTCCAGGTATGTTTTTGATGAGGGAATAAAATAACATGATGAAAAGCTAAAACATTAGATTTCACATAACACTGCTCCCGGACTGCAGTGTTTTTTTGTGTGTGTTTTTTTTTTAATTTATTTATTATGTCATTCACCAAAACATTAACCAAAAACATCCATGTTTTTGGTGAATGACATAATAAATCACATAATATAAATCACATAATACATGATGTTTTGGTTATTGACATAATAAGTCACATAATAAATGATTTTTGGGTTATTGACATAATAAATGACATGATAATGTTTTTGGTTATTGTTCTCTGGCATATATATCCAGTGCAGCTACATTGAATGAATATCAGTCAGATGACAGACATTGAAACATTTTACAAACTGCTGGTTGCTTCTGTTCTCTGTGATTGTCGATGACGAAGAGAAGATTGTGAAAGACTTGGAACAGTGGTCCATCATGTACCACAATCATTTCTCTATTCAAAGGTAATGTTTCTCATCTTTAATTAAACAATTAACTTTGTTAATTAGTTACTATTTTGTTGCAGTTAAAACAAGGGGACGTAGGGTAAGAATTGACAGTAACCAGCAGGCAAATAAGTAAGACCCTGATTCAAATGCTTTACTAACTGGGGAAAATATACAGTTAGTGGATTTGCAATATTATCTGTGCTTACAAAAAACAATATTAGAGATACTAATGTGTATGTGAGAGTGTAGAAAATATCCATTTAACATCATGCTCTATTAGCATCATTAAAGTGATGGTTGTTCTAAATGTTTTGTAGATTCAAGGATGGCCTTTCAACCCTGGATTTCATTTTTGCTTTGGAGCTTCAATTTCTAAGTCCACCATGTTTTCTAGTCTTGTGTAGTTTTCCACACAGGATTCACCAAGTCAGTGGATGCACTAGGCCACTGTCTCTGGAGGTCCTCAAACTGTCCCTAAAGACGGTCATGGCCACATTGACTGCTGTTGGACTCGGTCATAAATTCCCAGTTTCTCCTGGGAATCTGGGAACCCACAGCCTATTCTGCCAACTGAGGAGTAAAATATGTACAAGACACATAGCTTGGTTATTTATTGACATTTGTTCATTCAACTGTGACTTGAAACTGTAATAACTATTGTTGAAAAATGTTGTAATGCTTAATTGTATTTATGTCATCAGAAATTGTTACAATAAAAATTGACATACTAACACATGACTGATTATTTTTGTTTTTTTTTGACAAATTATTTTTGAAAGCTGCCAAACAGGCAACAAATGAACCAGATGCTAAAATAAATGAGGAAAAACAACAACAAAAAACCCACCTTTTTTATGTAGGTGGTACATGACATCTGGATTACCACATGCACCATGAGACTGTTTAGCAGGTCTGATGGTATTTGTAGTCCATCTTTCCCTGCTTTTATCAGTGTCACATTGCAGCATACCATGAACACAAACCACACTAGATATGTCTGATCTTGTATGTTCTTCAGATCATTCATCAGATCATCCAGAACTGGAACTAACAACAAACCAAAATTATAACAAATTCAGGAAAATTTCAGAGAAGACCAACAGTCCAGAATGACGTCACTGATTTCCATAAAATTGATAATTTCTTAAATATGCTCGTTAAAGAGCAAAGGTCATGAAAGCATGTCTTAATCAGATCCTCTTCTGAGATCGAGTCCAGCACAGACGCTGTAAAAGAAAATAGAGCAGAATAGAAATTGTTTTGCTGTCCAAAAATGGAGAAACTAACAATGTGGCAGTAAGGTTCACATAAAGACAGAAGATAGCAAAAGAACAGCAAAATGTGCTTAATAAGAATTTTTGTTTTTACAGAATTTGAAGATAATACTATGCAATAATCTTTATATTGGACAATAAATGTTGAATCTCCTGTCTGATTATTATTCAATAGCTGACTAACGCTGAGCATTACTATATCACAGATGTGGCAATGTTTGTGTGGCACAAAAGGACTGAAGCTACACTTATAAAGCCTTACAATGACTTATATCAAGATAACAATTCAACATTAATATTAAAATATTAACATATGGTATAATTACATATATCAATATATTTTTGGCCTTGTAAGAGTGCCTTGTAACTGAACTATGCAGTACAACACAAGGTGTCCTGCAGGAGTTTTTGACTCTTTAACTGGTGCAATCTGCAACTTCTGTGGTCCAATTTCTCTGGCGCACCAGCGCGTGGATTCGTCATTGAGCCTTCGTCAATGGAAGTCATGGAAACGACGTCAGCCTCTGCAACCCTATAAATGACGCTGACCTCCTGGAATCTTCCCCTTTGCTTCGAGACTTTTGAAGGAGACGCCAGAAGACGCTTAACGCCTCGGAAGGTTTCAACCTGTAGAGAAGTCTACTTTGCAAAACTCGCTGAAGAAGCTGTTGCTGAAACACGCAAGTGCCGAAGAATCCCACAACCCGCGGAAGATGGATCCTGGCCCGGAGAAGCACCAGCAGGGTGATCAGCTGGAAGGTTAATATTATTACTCTACTATCTTGAATAAACAAAAACAAGTTATTACTGAAATAATAATGAATTGTGTAGTTTATTTTGTGTTTGTGTGCGTTTTTATAAAGAAATAATGCCTGCTGAACAAAGATAGACAAGTAGCATTCTTGCTAGCATTGACCTTTCTTAACTAATGAGCCTTTTTCTTGAATTAATTTCCAGAAAATGTCAGAAATGTTAAACTGTGGTGTCGTGGTTTAAGAAATACATGTATTTTACCTAATTATTGTCAAATGAGTTGAATTAATGTCAAATGCTTGTAAAATTGACCGTTATTTTTTGAAAAATGCTGATAAACAATTTGTTTCCATGGATACGCTAAATGAAATACATTAGCTATTTAATGTTACATTAAAAAATCAATTAACCACATGTATTTTCCCCTTTGATAGCCTGTAATTTAATCATTTAGTTTTATTATTTTTTCAAGATAGGGACATGTTGGTCTGTTGTTGTTTTAGCATAGCCAGGAATGCTAACAAGGGTGAATTGATTTGAAAAAGAACCATTTTGTTATCTTCTTTGAAATATGTATCTTCGATCATTCTCTCTTGGATTTTGTGGGATGAAACTAATGTGTGAGTTAATTTAAATAGTTTTGTGATTTAGTGTACTGGAGTTTGTGGATGTTAGCACTAGTCTTTGAAAATAATTGTTATGCTAGTTTGAAATAAAATAAAACAAAAGGGGATCACCAGCTTGTTCTTGTTATTCCAATAATCGTATCGCACGAGGGACAAAACATATTTGGTTTCCATGGCAATGACATCAGACTTGAAGAGGTTAATTAGGACACTCAAAGACGCTTTACATAAAATCAGTAGTTTCCATTCATGCATATGTTCACACAATGATGAATATAAGCTAATGGATTGTAGCCACAGATGTTCTATCAAACCCCAGCAGGAAAGGTGGGTGAAATGTCTTGACCAAGGACACAACAGAGGCCGGCCATTGCAGAGCAAACTCCTACCACTGTCACCACCGTGACAAGCATCATATGTGTTCATGTGTGTCTGTGTCAAAATGACCATCAATCAAACTGATTTTCAAAAACAAAATAATTATTTCTTTGTCAAAATGAGCTTTTATGACTTTGGTGTCCAATTCTTGGCAAACTGCATAGTTCTTTGTCCATTTTTTGGAAAAATGCCCAAACATATTTAGTTTCCATGGATACATTGGATACAAGTGTCATTCAGAAAATCATAACACTTTTAATACAAAGTTGATATTATTCAAAATATCTTTGTTATGACAACAAACACATTTGTTGTCATAACAACAATTATGTTATAATAACAAATGTCAAAACATAACAATTATGACTTTTGTTGTCATCACAGTCTTATTCATAACCTGTCAAATAAAATGTTACCACATTTTTAGTGAGATTTTGGGGTTTTAACATTGCTTAAATAAAATGTTAAGCTAAAAGGTTATTTCTGGTTTTAGAAGATGTGTTTTTTTTTTATTCAGATTTTTGGAATAAGAAGTCTGTGCTTGTTCCAGGTTTCAGAAAACGACTCAAAAACACATTTGCTCTTCTTGGATATGTTGTTTGAAATAAAACCTTAAAACTTGAAGTTTAGAAACGTTTTTAGATATACATATCTTTTAGATATAGTCATTTAAAAATGCTAACGGAAAGATACGACTTATTTTTTAATTATCTTATAGTGTTAGAGTTATGTAAGCAGTAATTTAAGTTTAATAGTAATAAATGGCTCATCTATCTTGCTTTGGCTATAAAAATAAAACTTACCTGCTGAGCAGCAATAAAGATTTGGGAGTTATAGGAGGGTAAAGTGAGTAACTTGTGGTATTTTAGTGTTCTTTTTAAACATTGCTTTGGATTTTTGTGAAGGTCTTGATACTGAACTATAATGTTTTTCCTGTTTTCCTTCACAGCTCTTAGTGTAGCGCTTCCAGCAGATGGATCTCCAACGTCGCAGGAACATCAGGATGATGGTAAGGAAGTTGGTAAGGTGTGGTCAAATGTCGACAAGTCAGACAACATGGTTTCTGGAGATCATGGAGAGGAGTCGAGGTGTAGTTCTCCTCAGCAGTCTGTTGACTATACTAACAGCTCTAGTGGTAGCTCCAGTCAAGATGACTGTTCTAGCAGTTCCAGTGATAGCTGTTTTAGCAGGTCTAGTGGTAGCTCTACTACCAGCTACAGTGGTAGCTCTGCTCCTATCTCCAGTGAAGAAGAGGTAGGTAACGAGTATACTAGCAGCTACGGTAGTATCAGCACTACCAGCTGCAGTCCAACAGTGGACCGTCCTTACGCTGAGCTGGAGATGGCTCAGAAGCTTCAAGAGGGCATTTCTCAATTGACCTCACTTGAATCTTCACATGGATTTGAGAAGCGGGAAGAGCCCACTTTAAGTCCAGACGACTCCAGACTTATTGGTACCTCGCACCATCAGGTAGGTTTGGTAGGGGATGTGACTTGTGTGCCATCTGTCACCGGCTTAAACAGAAAGAGGACAAAGGACAGCGACTCTGAAGAGGAGCCCCCTGCCAAGAAGACTAGGGACACTGTTGCAGAAGAGGAGCTCTCTTTCAAGAGGACCAGAGATAGTGAAGATGCTGAAGAGGAGCCCCCAGCAAAGAGGTCTAGGGATAGTGAAGATGCTGAAGAGGAGCCTCCAGCCAAGAAGTTGAGGGAGAGTGGTTATGCTGAAGAGGAGCCCCCAGCCAAAACCCCCTACGAGAGTCAACCTAGAGATGGGCTCCCCTCCAAGAGAACCAGGGACAATGGTGCTGAAGAGGAGATCCCGGCCAAGAGATCCAGGAACAGCGATGATGAAGAGGAATCTTTTCTGCGTTCCACCACAAATACGTTGAGTGAGGATCCGGTTTTGTCATCCCCTCGCCTCAGTCCCTCTCCCTTGCCATTCTGGGTGGATCCCATTTTTTCACCCATCAGTCTTTCACCTAAGAGTGCATGTGAGGATCCCTTTCTGCCCTCCCCTGTCTTCAGTCCCTCACCAAGATTGCCCTGTGAAGGTCCCATTGCATCAGTTCATTCCATCAGTCCCCCAGTCGGTGAAGATCCTGTTTTGTCATCCCCTGTCCTCAGTCGTCCACAAAGGATAGAGCGTAAGGATCCCATTGTGTCTTCACCTGTCGTTTGTCCTTCACCCTCAACAAACTGCAAGTTTCAAAGTTCATCATTCCCTTGCATGTGTGCCTGGATGAAGTCTCAAATGGACAAAGAAGAGGAGCCAGGACCTTCAACATCTGGAATTGGATCAGACAGAGCTCGAGGAAGAGTGAGTTCCGGACAAGTGTGGTTTAGACCTCGTTACGACTTGTCAAGCGATGACTCTGATTAGATTTGGATTTTGAAAATCTGAAGACCTACCTGACAAGTTCCATTACAATACCATAATTTTTCTGTTGTTTTTGTGAAAGCCTATGGCATTCTAGCAGGACCGAGGATGCCTTAGGTAGCGTCTTGCGCCGGGGCTTTTCTTTATCCCGCTGCTAGATTTTTTATTTTAGACGTTGAGGATTCTGGCAGGACCGAGGATGCCTTAGGTAGCGTCTTGCGCCGGGGCTTTTCTTTATCCCGCTGCTAGATTTTTTTATTTTAGACGTTGAGGATTCTGGCAGGACCGAGGATGCCTTAGGTAGCGTCTTGCGCCGGGGCTTTTCTTTATCCCGCTGCTAGATTTTTTATTTAGACGTTGAGGATTCTAGCAGGACCGAGGATGCCTTAGGTAGCGTCTTGCACCGGGGCTTTTCTTTATCCCGCTGCTAGATTTTTCATTTTGGATGTCAAGAATTCTACTTGAACAGGCAATGCTGATTTTATTTGCTTTAATCAAAGAATGATGAAATGCTGGGGGAGGCTAATTTAAATTCTGAGGAACAAGAGCATTCTGCTGAACAAAAAATCCTAAAAGGAGTCGGACATGGCTGGTGAATAAAAGATAAATGCTAAAAGAAAGAAGACATTGTGACAGGATTAATACTAAATCTAAAACAATCTTGCTGGGTGAAAATCAAACTTAAAAACGATTAAGACAACGTGGCTCGGGACACTGGAATCAATAAATTTGAGAACACTGCTGCAAATTTAAGACATGAAAAATAAAAAATGGAGATACAATATAATCGGTTGGGCTGTGGTATAAACGGATTTAAATTGCGGTTTTAAAGTTATAACCCTTCTGTCCTGGACATTGTAAACTGAGGCGTTTTTACGTATGAAATAACGACGGCGACAGTAACAACAGGAGTCAATTCAAATGTTCAAAGATGACAAATTGGAGAGAGAAATGGGCAGGTCCTTTGGATTCCAGAAATGAACTGTTGATCCATGGATCAATCATTTATCAAGTCAACATGTTAAAATGTCGTTGAACGCACGTGATAATGGTTATAAATATTGGTAATGTTGCTGGGCGTCAAACCTTAAATCTCTTAGGACTGAGAAGAGACAACGCTTTTTGGGACAAATTATCTCTCAACTCTTCTGCGGACAAATGAAATATTTCAAGTGGTGAGAAATCGAAAAGTTTTGGGACCAATATGATGCCATGGTGGACAAATTAAAATATACAGGAATTAAAAAAAACCTGCGGAGTACAAACTAACATCTTTAAGGATAAAAGAAAAAGACAGGTAAATATTTGGTTAAGGCTTGGTACAGTGACTTGGACCACCATAGATATTTTCTGAGGACCACCAGGAGCTGCAGTCACCTTTCAAGTAAGTCAACAGTAAGTATGAGTCCCAGATAGAGCAGCGCGCAGTGAGACTGCTTCTTCCAAGATTCTCTGTGCTTGTCTCAGAGTGCAGGAGCGGTCCTTGCCCTCACAATGCTCTCTAATATAGTAAATTGTCCTCACCTGTTCCTTCATTAATCCACTCTCCCAGTTTTAATCTTTCAGGTTTTAGCTGCTCTTCGCTGGATTTTTCCATCGTTGTCCATGTGGTTCCTGTCCTTGTGGTTCCTGCTTGTAAGTTTTTGCATTCCACAACTCATAATACTGCTTGCCTCCTGCTGGCATTGGGGAGCATCAGCTTTACTAAATAAACAAAAAGAAATTCACTATTACTGGAAAGTGTTCCTCCATTATTCAAATTTACACTAAGTAAGGATAGTTTTCCTGATAACGTTTCATATTAGAGATGTAATCAAAGCATCAAGCCAATAAGAAATTAGAAGACAGAGGAGAACATAGACAAAATTTATGTTTTAGGGATTTAAGTAAGAGTTTTTATTCAGAAGGAAATAAAATATTAACCTCATAAAAAAAAATATGTTCATATTTACATGAACATATTTGAAAGATCACAAAAAGAGAATTGACATTAAAAAATACAGACACTAGTCTCTGATCCTGGGTCCAGACGTTTCAGATCTCTGATGTTCTGATCATCCCAGATTGGATCTTCTGACCCTGGAATCCTCCATCTTCAACACCGTCAGTCAGATGAAGGAAGATTATCTCATGAAGTCAGATAAGAGAACCCAGTTGACGAAAAAAGTAAGAACATTTATATCTACACAACATAAGTAAACATTTCAGATGTAGCTGCATAGAGTTGAGCTGAAATTTTAGAATCTGGTTCTGTTGTCCTCTTTGACTCTGTTGTCTTTTCTCTTTGTTTCATTTGTCCGTCAACTCATGTCACATGACTTGAGTTGACCAACAATTAAATCAGAAGACCTGCTCCACCTGCTGTTCTACTGGTTGTAAGAGATTGTTGGAAAGGTGAGGACATGATGATGACTTGATCAGAAAGTCTCCTTCTATCATATAATATTTAGACTCAATGTGTGTCTGATTCTTTGTTGATTCTCCTGCATCACCAAGACAAGACAACAACACTGGACCAATGAGGAGAGAGGAGACACAAAATCCTGCTGGAAATCCAGAGACGTTTTCTGATCCATCAGGGGGACAGCTGAGGACGGGATGCAGAACAAAGAGACTGAGATCATGTGAAGTGGATCCTCATCAACCTGCAATCCTCCACCTTCAACACCACCAGTCAGGTGGAGGAAGATAAGAGAACCCAGTTGACGAAAAAAGTAAGAACATTTATATCTACACAACATAAGTAAACATTTCAGATGTAGCTGCATAGAGTTGAGCTTAAAGTTAGAAACTGGTTCTGTATGTTGTCCATGCATATTTTTCCTCTTTGACTCTGTTGTCTTTTCTCTTTGTTTCATTTGTCCGTCAACTCATGTCACATGACTTGAGTTGACCAACAATAAAAGCAGAAGACCTGCTCCACCTGCTGTTCTACTGGTTGTAAGAGATTGTTGGAAAGGTGAGGACATGATGATGACTTGATCAGAAAGTCTCCTTCTATCATCTGTTATTTAGACTCAATGTGTGTCTGATTCTTTGTTGATTCTCCTGCATCACCAAGACAAGACAACAACACTGGACCAATGAGGAGAGAGGAGACACAAAATCCTCCTGGAAATGCAGAGAAGTTTTCTGATGCAGGGGGACAGCTGAGGACAGGATGCAGAACAAATAGACTGAGATCATGTGAAGTGGATCCTCATCAACCTGCAATCCTCCACCTTCAACACCACCAGTCAGGTGGAGGAAGATAAGAGAACCCAGTTGACGAAAAAAGTAAGAACATTTATATCTATACAACATAAGTAAACATTTCAGATGTAGCTGCATAGAGTTGAGCTGAAATTTTAGAAATCTGGTTCTGTATGCTGTCCATGCATATTTTTCCTCTTTGACTCTGTTGTCTTTTCTCTTGTTTCATTTTGTCCATCAACTCATGTCACATGACGTGAGTTGACCAACAATAAATCAGAAGACCTGCTCCACCTGCTGTTCTACTGGTTGTAAGAGATTGTTGGAAAGGTGAGGACATGATGATGACTTGATCAGAAAGTCTCCTCCTATCATCTGTTATTTAGACTCAATGTGTGTCTGATTCTGTGTTGATTCTCCTGCATCACCAAGACAAGACAACAACACTGGACCAATGAGGAGAGAGGAGACACAAAATCCTGCTGGAAATCCAGAAAAGTTTTCTGATGGATCAGGGGGACAGCTGAGGACGGGATGCAGAACAAAGAGACTGAGATCATCTGAAGTGGATCCTCATCAACCTGCAATCCTCCACCTTCAACACCACCAGTCAGGTGGAGGAAGATAAGAGAACCCAGTTGACGAAAAAAGTAAGAACATTATATCTACACAACATAAGTAAACATTTCAGATGTAGCTGCATAGAGTTGAGCTTAAAGTTAGAAACTGGTTCTGTATGTTGTCCATGCATATTTTTCCTCTTTGACTCTGTTGTCTTTTCTCTTTGTTTCATTTGTCCGTCAACTCATGTCACATGACTTGAGTTGACCAACAATAAAATCAGAAGACCTGCTCCACCTGCTGTTCTACTGGTTGTAAGAGATTGTTGGAAAGGTGAGGACATGATGATTTGATCAGAAAGTCTCCTCCTATCATCTGTTATTTAGACTGAATGCATTTATTCTCCAGCATCTCATGTTTAAGTTCAGATGTTGAATATTAAAAAAAAAATTACATACATTATACCATTCTGGTTTCTTATCCCAGATTCAGATTCTGCAGATCAATAATGTTTCTGATCATCCCAGGTTGGATCTCCTCAACCTACAAACCTCCTTCTTCAAACCACTAGTTAGGTGGAGGAAGATAAGAGACCCCAGTTGAGAAAAAAAGTAAGAAAACATATTTTTACCCACCTAACAATTTAAAATGTGGATGAAATTGAGATCACTGTTAACAGTAACCTCAGTTACCTAAGAATATACATTTCTTCTGTCTTCAGTATTATGTATTTTCCAGGCACATAGTGCCTATGTTACCTTCAGCTGTTATAGAAATACTGTATATATAAAAAATGACATAAAATACATTTTACATCATAATTTAACATCTAGAAATTGGGACTTTTCTTGCATTCAGCACATCATCACTTTGCCGCTCAAGAAGACCTTTAATAAGGCTGCAGCTCCAACAATGAGCTTTTTAGACATAGACTTGGTAAAACAAAGATTTTTACACCGTCGACATGCAAGATTAAAGGATTTCTCAAACTTTCACAACAGAATTGAGGCAACACTCCAGGTATGTTTTTGATGAGGGAATAAAATAACATGATGAAAAGCTAAAACATTAGATTTCACATAACACTGCTCCCGGACTGCAGTGGGTTTTTTTTTGTGTGTGTTTTTTTATTTTTTTTATTTATTATGTCATTCACCAAAACATTAACCAAAAACATCCATGTTTTTGGTGAATGACATAATAAATCACATAATATAAATCACATAATACATGATTTTTTGGTTATTGACATAATAAGTCACATAATAAATGATTTTTGGGTTATTGACATAATAAATGACATGATAATGTTTTTGGTTATTGTTCTCTGGCATATATATCCAGTGCAGCTACATTGAATGAATATCAGTCAGATGACAGACATTGAAACATTTTACAAACTGCTGGTTGCTTCTGTTCTCTGTGATTGTCGATGACGAAGAGAAGATTGTGAAAGACTTGGAACAGTGGTCCATCATGTACCACAATCATTTCTCTATTCAAAGGTAATGTTTCTCATCTTTAATTAAACAATTAACTTTGTTAATTAGTTACTATTTTGTTGCAGTTAAAACAAGGGGACGTAGGGTAAGAATTGACAGTAACCAGCAGGCAAATAAGTAAGACCCTGATTCAAATGCTTTACTAACTGGGGAAAATATACAGTTAGTGGATTTGCAATATTATCTGTGCTTACAAAAAACAATATTAGAGATACTAATGTGTATGTGAGAGTGTAGAAAATATCCATTTAACATCATGCTCTATTAGCATCATTAAAGTGATGGTTGTTCTAAATGTTTTGTAGATTCAAGGATGGCCTTTCAACCCTGGATTTCATTTTTGCTTTGGAGCTTCAATTTCTAAGTCCACCATGTTTTCTAGTCTTGTGTAGTTTTCCACACAGGATTCACCAAGTCAGTGGATGCACTGGGCCACTGTCTCTGGAGGTCCTCAAACTGTCCCTAAAGACGGTCATGGCCACATTGACTGCTGTTGGACTCGGTCATAAATTCCCAGTTTCTCCTGGGAATCTGGGAACCCACAGCCTATTCTGCCAAACTGAGGAGTAAAATATGTACAAGACACATAGCTTGGTTATTTATTGACATTTGTTCATTCAACTGTGACTTGAAACTGTAATAACTATTGTTGAAAAATGTTGTAATGCTTAATTGTATTTATGTCATCAGAAATTGTTACAATAAAAATTGACATACTAACACATGACTGATTATTTTTGTTTTTTTTTGACAAATTATTTTTGAAAGCTGCCAAACAGGCAACAAATGAACCAGATGCTAAAATAATGAGGAAAAACAACAACAAAAAAACCCACCTTTTTTATGTAGGTGGTACATGACATCTGGATTACCACATGCACCATGAGACTGTTTAGCAGGTCTGATGGTATTTGTAGTCCATCTTTCCCTGCTTTTATCAGTGTCACATTGCAGCATACCATGAACACAAACCACACTAGATATGTCTGATCTTGTATGTTCTTCAGATCATTCATCAGATCATCCAGAACTGGAACTAACAACAAACCAAAATTATAACAAATTCAGGAAAATTTCAGAGAAGACCAACAGTCCAGAATGACGTCACTGATTTCCATAAAATTGATAATTTCTTAAATATGCTCGTTAAAGAGCAAAGGTCATGAAAGCATGTCTTAATCAGATCCTCTTCTGAGATCGAGTCCAGCACAGACGCTGTAAAAGAAAATAGAGCAGAATAGAAATTGTTTTGCTGTCCAAAATGGAGAAACTAACAATGTGGCAGTAAGGTTCACATAAAGACAGAAGATAGCAAAAGAACAGCAAAATGTGCTTAATAAGAATTTTTGTTTTTACAGAATTTGAAGATAATACTATGCAATAATCTTTATATTGGACAATAAATGTTGAATCTCCTGTCTGATTATTATTCAATAGCTGACTAACGCTGAGCATTACTATATCACAGATGTGGAATGTTTGTGTGGCAAAAGGACTGAAGCTACACTTATAAAGCCTTACAATGACTTATATCAAGATAACAATTCAACATTAATATTAAAATATTAACATATGGTATAATTACATATATCAATATATTTTTGGCCTTGTAAGAGAGCCTTGTAACTGAACTATGCAGTACAACACAAGGTGTCCTGCAGGAGTTTTTGACTCTTTAACTGGTGCAATCTGCAACTTCTGTGGTCCAATTTCTCTGGCGCACCAGCGCGTGGATTCGTCATTGAGCCTTCGTCAATGGAAGTCATGGAAACGACGTCAGCCTCTGCAACCCTATAAATGACGCTGACCTCCTGGAATCTTCCCCTTTGCTTCGAGACTTTTGAAGGAGACGCCAGAAGACGCTTAACGCCTCGGAAGGTTTCAACCTGTAGAGAAGTCTACTTTGCAAAACTCGCTGAAGAAGCTGTTGCTGAAACACGCACGTGCCGAAGAATCCCACAACCCGCGGAAGATGGATCCTGGCCCGGAGAAGCATCAGCAGGTGATCAGCTGGAAGGTTAATATTATTACTCTACTATCTTGAATAAACAAAAACAAGTTATTACTGAAATAATAATGAATTGTGTAGTTTATTTTGTGTTTGTGTGCGTTTTTATAAAGAAATAATGCCTGCTGAACAAAGATAGACAAGTAGCATTCTTGCTAGCATTGACCTTTCTTAACTAATGAGCCTTTTTCTTGAATTAATTTCCAGAAAATGTCAGAAATGTTAAACTGTGGTGTCGTGGTTTAAGAAATACATGTATTTTACCTAATTATTGTCAAATGAGTTGAATTAATGTCAAATGCTTGTAAAATTGACCGTTATTTTTTGAAAAATGCTGATAAACAATTTGTTTCCATGGATACGCTAAATGAAATACATTAGCTATTTAATGTTACATTAAAAAATCAATTAACCACATGTATTTTCCCCTTTGATAGCCTGTAATTTAATCATTTAGTTTTATTATTTTTTCAAGATAGGGACATGTTGGTCTGTTGTTGTTTTAGCATAGCCAGGAATGCTAACAAGGGTGAATTGATTTGAAAAAGAACCATTTTGTTATCTTCTTTGAAATATGTATCTTCGATCATTCTCTCTTGGATTTGTGGGATGAAACTAATGTGTGAGTTAATTTAAATAGTTTTGTGATTTAGTGTACTGGAGTTTGTGGATGTTAGCACTAGTCTTTGAAAATAATTGTTATGCTAGTTTGAAATAAAATAAAACAAAAGGGGATCACCAGCTTGTTCTTGTTATTCCAATAATCGTATCGCACGAGGGACAAAACATATTTGGTTTCCATGGCAATGACATCAGACTTGAAGAGGTTAATTAGGACACTCAAAGACGCTTTACATAAAATCAGTAGTTTCCATTCATGCATATGTTCACACAATGATGAATATAAGCTAATGGATTGTAGCCACAGATGTTCTATCAAACCCCAGCAGGAAAGGTGGGTGAAATGTCTTGACCAAGGACACAACAGAGGCCGGCCATTGCAGAGCAAACTCCTACCACTGTCACCACCGTGACAAGCATCATATGTGTTCATGTGTGTCTGTGTCAAAATGACCATCAATCAAACTGATTTTCAAAACAAAATAATTATTTCTTTGTCAAAATGAGCTTTTATGACTTTGGTGTCCAATTCTTGGCAAACTGCATAGTTTGTCCATTTTTTGGAAAAATGCCCAAACATATTTAGTTTCCATGGATACATTGGATACAAGTGTCATTCAGAAAATCATAACACTTTTAATACAAAGTTGATATTATTCAAAATATCTTTGTTATGACAACAAACACATTTGTTGTCATAACAACAATTATGTTATAATAACAAATGTCAAAACATAACAATTATGACTTTTGTTGTCATCACAGTCTTATTCATAACCTGTCAAATAAAATGTTACCACATTTTAGTGAGATTTTGGGGTTTTAACATTGCTTAAATAAAATGTTAAGCTAAAAGGTTATTTCTGGTTTTAGAAGATGTGTTTTTTTTTTTATTCAGATTTTTGGAATAAGAAGTCTGTGCTTGTTCCAGGTTTCAGAAAACGACTCAAAAACACATTTGCTCTTCTTGGATATGTTGTTTGAAATAAAACCTTAAAACTTGAAGTTTAGAAACGTTTTTAGATATACATATCTTTTAGATATAGTCATTTAAAAATGCTAACGGAAACATACGACTTATTTTTAATTATCTTATAGTGTTAGAGTTATGTAAGCAGTAATTTAAGTTTAATAGTAATAAATGGCTCATCTATCTTGCTTTGGCTATAAAAATAAAACTTACCTGCTGAGCAGCAATAAAGATTTGGGAGTTATAGGAGGGTAAAGTGAGTAACTTGTGGTATTTTAGTGTTCTTTTTAAACATTGCTTTGGATTTTTGTGAAGGTCTTGATACTGAACTATAATGTTTTTCCTGTTTTCCTTCACAGCTCTTAGTGTAGCGCTTCCAGCAGATGGATCTCCAACGTCGCAGGAACATCAGGATGATGGTAAGGAAGTTGGTAAGGTGTGGTCAAATGTCGACAAGTCAGACAACATGGTTTCTGGAGATCATGGAGAGGAGTCGAGGTGTAGTTCTCCTCAGCAGTCTGTTGACTATACTAACAGCTCTAGTGGTAGCTCCAGTCAAGATGACTGTTCTAGCAGTTCCAGTGATAGCTGTTTTAGCAGGTCTAGTGGTAGCTCTACTACCAGCTACAGTGGTAGCTCTGCTCCTATCTCCAGTGAAGAAGAGGTAGGTAACGAGTATACTAGCAGCTACGGTAGTATCAGCACTACCAGCTGCAGTCCAACAGTGGACCGTCCTTACGCTGAGCTGGAGATGGCTCAGAAGCTTCAAGAGGGCATTTCTCAATTGACCTCACTTGAATCTTCACATGGATTTGAGAAGCGGGAAGAGCCCACTTTAAGTCCAGACGACTCCAGACTTATTGGTACCTCGCACCATCAGGTAGGTTTGGTAGGGATGTGACTTGTGTGCCATCTGTCACCGGCTTAAACAGAAAGAGGACAAAGGACAGCGACTCTGAAGAGGAGCCCCCTGCCAAGAAGACTAGGGACACTGTTGCAGAAGAGGAGCTCTCTTTCAAGAGGACCAGAGATAGTGAAGATGCTGAAGAGGAGCCCCCAGCAAAGAGGTCTAGGGATAGTGAAGATGCTGAAGAGGAGCCTCCAGCCAAGAAGTTGAGGGAGAGTGGTTATGCTGAAGAGGAGCCCCCAGCCAAAACCCCCTACGAGAGTCAACCTAGAGATGGGCTCCCCTCCAAGAGAACCAGGGACAATGGTGCTGAAGAGGAGATCCCGGCCAAGAGATCCAGGAACAGCGATGATGAAGAGGAATCTTTTCTGCGTTCCACCACAAATACGTTGAGTGAGGATCCGGTTTTGTCATCCCCTCGCCTCAGTCCCTCTCCCTTGCCATTCTGGGTGGATCCCATTTTTTCACCCATCAGTCTTTCACCTAAGAGTGCATGTGAGGATCCCTTTCTGCCCTCCCCTGTCTTCAGTCCCTCACCAAGATTGCCCTGTGAAGGTCCCATTGCATCAGTTCATTCCATCAGTCCCCCAGTCGGTGAAGATCCTGTTTTGTCATCCCCTGTCCTCAGTCGTCCACAAAGGATAGAGCGTAAGGATCCCATTGTGTCTTCACCTGTCGTTTGTCCTTCACCCTCAACAAACTGCAAGTTTCAAAGTTCATCATTCCCTTGCATGTGTGCCTGGATGAAGTCTCAAATGGACAAAGAAGAGGAGCCAGGACCTTCAACATCTGGAATTGGATCAGACAGAGCTCGAGGAAGAGTGAGTTCCGGACAAGTGTGGTTTAGACCTCGTTACGACTTGTCAAGCGATGACTCTGATTAGATTTGGATTTTGAAAATCTGAAGACCTACCTGACAAGTTCCATTACAATACCATAATTTTTCTGTTGTTTTTGTGAAAGCCTATGGCATTCTAGCAGGACCGAGGATGCCTTAGGTAGCGTCTTGCGCCGGGGCTTTTCTTTATCCCGCTGCTAGATTTTTTATTTTAGACGTTGAGGATTCTGGCAGGACCGAGGATGCCTTAGGTAGCGTCTTGCGCCGGGGCTTTTCTTTATCCCGCTGCTAGATTTTTTTATTTTAGACGTTGAGGATTCTGGCAGGACCGAGGATGCCTTAGGTAGCGTCTTGCGCCGGGGCTTTTCTTTATCCCGCTGCTAGATTTTTTATTTTAGACGTTGAGGATTCTAGCAGGACCGAGGATGCCTTAGGTAGCGTCTTGCGCCGGGGCTTTTCTTTATCCCGCTGCTAGATTTTTTATTTTAGACGTTGAGGATTCTGGCAGGACCGAGGATGCCTTAGGTAGCGTCTTGCACCTGGGCTTTTCTTTATCCCGCTGCTAGATTTTTCATTTTGGATGTCAAGAATTCTACTTGAACAGGCAATGCTGATTTTATTTGCTTTTAATCAAAGAATGATGAAATGCTGGGGGAGGCTAATTTAAATTGAGGAACAAGAGCATTCTGCTGAACAAAAAATCCTAAAAGGAGTCGGACATGGCTGGTGAATAAAAGATAAATGCTAAAAGAAAGAAGACATCGTGACAGGATTAATACTAAATCTAAAACAATCTTGCTGGGTGAAAATCAAACTTAAAAACGATTAAGACAACGTGGCTCGGGACACTGGAATCAATAAAGTTGAGAACACTGCTGCAAATTTAAGACATGAAAAATCAAAAATGGAGATACAATATAATCGGTTGGGCTGTGGTATGAACGGATTTAAATTGCGCTTTTAAAGTTATAACCCTTCTGGTCTGGACATTGTAAACTGAGGCGTTTTTACGTATGAAATAACTACGACGGCGACAGTAACAACAGGAGTCAATTCAAATGTTCAAAGATGACAAATTGGAGAGAGAAATGGGCAGGTCCTTTGGATTCCGGAAATGAACTGTTGATCCATGGATCAATCATTTATCAAGTCAACATGTTAAAATGTCGTTGAACGCACGTGATAATGGTTATAAATATTGGTAATGCTGCTGGGCGTCAAACCTTAAATCTCTTAGGACTGAGAAGAGACAACGCTTTTTGGGACAAATTATCTCTCAACTCTTCTGCGGACAAATGAAATATTTCAAGTGGTGAGAAATCGAAAAGTTTTGGGACCAATATGATGCCATGGTGGACAAATTAAAATATACAGGAATTAAAAAAACCCGCGGAGTACAAACTAACATCTTTAAGGATAAAAGAAAAAGACAGGTAAATATTTGGTTAAAGCTTGGTACAGTGACTTGGACCACCATAGATATTTTCTGAGGACCACCAGGAGCTGCAGTCACCTTTCAAGTAAGTCAACAGTAAGTATTAGTCCCAGACAGAGCAGCGCGCAGTGAGACTGCTTCTTCCAAGATTCTCTGTGCTTGTCTCAGAGTGCAGGAGCGGTCCTTGCCCTCACGATGCTCTCTAATATAGTAAATTGTCCTCACCTGTTCCTTCATTAATCCACTCTCCCAGTTTTAATCTTTCAGGTTTTAGCTGCTCTTCGCTGGATTTTCCCATCGTTGTCCATGTGGTTCCTGTCCTTGTGGTTCCTGCTTGTAAGTTTTTGCATTCCACAACTCATAATACTGCTTGCCTCCTGCTGGCATTGGGGAGCATCAGCTTTACTAAATAAACAAAAAGAAATTCACTATTACTGGAAAGTGTTCCTCCATTATTCAAATTTACACTAAGAAAGGAAAGTTTTCCTGATAACGTTTCATATTAGAGATGTAATCAAAGCATCAAGCCAATAAGAAATTAGAAGACAGAGGAGAACATAGACAAAATTTATGTTTTAGGGATTTAATTAAGAACTTTCATTCAGAAGGAAAGTAGAGAACATAAAACAAATATGTTCATATTTACATGTTGCAACACAGAAAGATCACAAAAAGAGAATTGACATTAAAAAATACAGACACTAGTCTCTGATCCCGGGTCCAGACTTTTCAGATCTCTGATGTTCTGATCATCCCAGATTGGATCTTCTGACCCTGGAATCCTCCATCTTCAACACCGTCAGTCAGATGAAGGAAGATTATCTCATGAAGTCAGATAAGAGAACCCAGTTGACAACAAAAGTAAGAACATTTATATCTACACAACATAAGTAAACATTTCAGATGTAGCTGCATAGAGTTGAGCTGAAATTTAGAATCTGATTCTGTTTTCCTCTTTGACTCTGTTGTCTTTTCTCTTTGTTTCATTTGTCCGTCAACTCATGTCACATGACGTGAGTTGACCAACAATTAAATCAGAAGACCTGCTCCACCTGCTGTTCTACTGGTTGTAAGAGATTGTTGGAAAGGTGAGGACATGATGATGACTTGATCAGAAAGTCTCCTTCTATCATATGATATTTAGACTGAATGTGTGTCTGATTCTGTGTTGATTCTCCTGCATCACCAAGAGAAGTCAACAACACTGGACCAATGATGAAAGAGAAGACACAGAGGACTGAGGAGACACAGAAAATCCTGCTGGACATCCATAACAAAATGTTTCCTGATGGAACAGGGGGACATCTGAGGACGGGACATCATAAAGGGACAGAGATCATATGAAGTAGGTCCTTCAATAACAAATCAAGCATTGCCACTGAACCTTATGTTGAAAATGCACCTGTTTATGAGTCAGACACTGAATATTAAATAATTTTAGAAACATTATAGAAAACCCAGATTCAGATTCTACAGATCAATAATGTTTCTGATCATCCCAGGTTAGATCTTCTGAACCTTTAATCCTCTGCCTTCAACACCTCTAGGAAGGTGCAGGAAGATAAGAGAACCCAGTTGACAAAAAAGTGAGAACATTTACTTTTGCACAACAAAAAGTTTTCAATATGCATGAAGTTGAGGTCAGTACTCTAATCTGATTCCTACTTTGTGCTGTACTTTCTCCTCACTGACCCTTTTGTTTTGTTTTGTCTGATTTTTTTCATTGAGTCGTTTCAAAACAGCACAGCTTTGATGAGCTCTGTGCTGATGGAATGAGGATCAGGAACAGAGCAGAGGACCTGCTGATCTACTGGTTATAGTAGATTTCATAAATGGTGAGGTCATGATTATGATTTGATCAGAAAGTCTGATTCAATCATCGGTTATTTAGACTGAAATAAAGGAATGTGTGTTTGATCATGTGTTGGTTCACAAGCATGACTAAACAAGTCAACAGAACTGGACCAATGAGGAGAGAGAAGGCACAGAAAATCCTCATCAACCTGCAATCCTCCATATCCTGCATATTTTTCCTCTTTGACTCTGTTGTCTTTTCTCTTTGTTTCATTTGTCCGTCAACTCATGTCACATGACGTGAGTTGACCAACAATTAAATCAGAAGACCTGCTCCACCTGCTGTTCTACTGGTTGTAAGAGATTGTTGGAAAGGTGAGGACATGATGATGACTTGATCAGAAAGTCTCCTCCTATCATCTGTTATTTAGACTCAATGTGTGTCTGATTCTGTGTTGATTCTCCTGCATCACCAAGACAAGACAACAACACTGGACCAATGAGGAGAGAGGAGACACAAAATCCTGCTGGAAATCCAGAAAAGTTTTCTGATGGATCAGGGGGACAGCTGAGGACGGGATGCAGAACAAAGAGACTGAGATCATCTGAAGTGGATCCTCATCAACCTGCAATCCTCCACCTTCAACACCACCAGTCAGGTGGAGGAAGATAAGAGAACCCAGTTGACGAAAAAAGTAAGAACATTTATATCTACACAACATAAGTAAACATTTCAGATGTAGCTGCATAGAGTTGAGCTTAAAGTTAGAAACTGGTTCTGTATGTTGTCCATGCATATTTTTCCTCTTTGACTCTGTTGTCTTTTCTCTTTGTTTCATTTGTCCGTCAACTCATGTCACATGACTTGAGTTGACCAACAATAAAATCAGAAGACCTGCTCCACCTGCTGTTCTACTGGTTGTAAGAGATTGTTGGAAAGGTGAGGACATGATGATGACTTGATCAGAAAGTCTCCTCCTATCATCTGTTATTTAGACTGAATGCATTTATTCTCCAGCATCTCATGTTTAAGTTCAGATGTTGAATATTAAAAAAAAAATTACATACATTATACCATTCTGGTTTCTTATCCCAGATTCAGATTCTGCAGATCAATAATGTTTCTGATCATCCCAGGTTGGATCTCCTCAACCTACAAACCTCCTTCTTCAACACCACTAGTTAGGTGGAGGAAGATAAGAGACCCCAGTTGAGAAAAAAAGTAAGAAAACATTTTTACCCACCTAACAATTTAAAATGTGGATGAAATTGAGATCACTGTTAACAGTAACCTCAGTTACCTAAGAATATACATTTCTTCTGTCTTCAGTATTATGTATTTTCCAGGCACATAGTGCCTATGTTACCTTCAGCTGTTATAGAAATACTGTATATATAAAAAATGACATAAAATACATTTTACATCATAATTTAACATCTAGAAATTGGGACTTTTCTTGCATTCAGCACATCATCACTTTGCCGCTCAAGAAGACCTTTAATAAGGCTGCAGCTCCAACAATGAGCTTTTTAGACATAGACTTGGTAAAACAAAGATTTTTACACCGTCGACATGCAAGATTAAAGGATTTCTCAAACTTTCACAACAGAATTGAGGCAACACTCCAGGTATGTTTTTGATGAGGGAATAAAATAACATGATGAAAAGCTAAAACATTAGATTTCACATAACACTGCTCCCGGACTGCAGTGGGTTTTTTTTTTGTGTGTGTTTTTTTATTTTTTTTATTTATTATGTCATTCACCAAAACATTAACCAAAAACATCCATGTTTTTGGTGAATGACATAATAAATCACATAATATAAATCACATAATACATGATTTTTTGGTTATTGACATAATAAGTCACATAATAAATGATTTTTGGGTTATTGACATAATAAATGACATGATAATGTTTTTGGTTATTGTTCTCTGGCATATATATCCAGTGCAGCTACATTGAATGAATATCAGTCAGATGACAGACATTGAAACATTTTACAAACTGCTGGTTGCTTCTGTTCTCTGTGATTGTCGATGACGAAGAGAAGATTGTGAAAGACTTGGAACAGTGGTCCATCATGTACCACAATCATTTCTCTATTCAAAGGTAATGTTTCTCATCTTTAATTAAACAATTAACTTTGTTAATTAGTTACTATTTTGTTGCAGTTAAAACAAGGGGACGTAGGGTAAGAATTGACAGTAACCAGCAGGCAAATAAGTAAGACCCTGATTCAAATGCTTTACTAACTGGGGAAAATATACAGTTAGTGGATTTGCAATATTATCTGTGCTTACAAAAAACAATATTAGAGATACTAATGTGTATGTGAGAGTGTAGAAAATATCCATTTAACATCATGCTCTATTAGCATCATTAAAGTGATGGTTGTTCTAAATGTTTTGTAGATTCAAGGATGGCCTTTCAACCCTGGATTTCATTTTTGCTTTGGAGCTTCAATTTCTAAGTCCACCATGTTTTCTAGTCTTGTGTAGTTTTCCACACAGGATTCACCAAGTCAGTGGATGCACTGGGCCACTGTCTCTGGAGGTCCTCAAACTGTCCCTAAAGACGGTCATGGCCACATTGACTGCTGTTGGACTCGGTCATAAATTCCCAGTTTCTCCTGGGAATCTGGGAACCCACAGCCTATTCTGCCAAACTGAGGAGTAAAATATGTACAAGACACATAGCTTGGTTATTTATTGACATTTGTTCATTCAACTGTGACTTGAAACTGTAATAACTATTGTTGAAAAATGTTGTAATGCTTAATTGTATTTATGTCATCAGAAATTGTTACAATAAAAATTGACATACTAACACATGACTGATTATTTTTGTTTTTTTTTGACAAATTATTTTTGAAAGCTGCCAAACAGGCAACAAATGAACCAGATGCTAAAATAAATGAGGAAAAAAACAACAAAAAAACCCACCTTTTTTATGTAGGTGGTACATGACATCTGGATTACCACATGCACCATGAGACTGTTTAGCAGGTCTGATGGTATTTGTAGTCCATCTTTCCCTGCTTTTATCAGTGTCACATTGCAGCATACCATGAACACAAACCACACTAGATATGTCTGATCTTGTATGTTCTTCAGATCATTCATCAGATCATCCAGAACTGGAACTAACAACAAACCAAAATTATAACAAATTCAGGAAAATTTCAGAGAAGACCAACAGTCCAGAATGACGTCACTGATTTCCATAAAATTGATAATTTCTTAAATATGCTCGTTAAAGAGCAAAGGTCATGAAAGCATGTCTTAATCAGATCCTCTTCTGAGAGCGAGTCCAGCACAGACGCTGTAAAAGAAAATAGAGCAGAATAGAAATTGTTTTGCTGTCCAAAAATGGAGAAACTAACAATGTGGCAGTAAGGTTCACATAAAGACAGAAGATAGCAAAAGAACAGCAAAATGTGCTTAATAAGAATTTTTGTTTTTACAGAATTTGAAGATAATACTATGCAATAATCTTTATATTGGACAATAAATGTTGAATCTCCTGTCTGATTATTATTCAATAGCTGACTAACGCTGAGCATTACTATATCACAGATGTGGCAATGTTTGTGTGGCACAAAAGGACTGAAGCTACACTTATAAAGCCTTACAATGACTTATATCAAGATAACAATTCAACATTAATATTAAAATATTAACATATGGTATAATTACATATATCAATATATTTTTGGCCTTGTAAGAGAGCCTTGTAACTGAACTATGCAGTACAACACAAGGTGTCCTGCAGGAGTTTTTGACTCTTTAACTGGTGCAATCTGCAACTTCTGTGGTCCAATTTCTCTGACGCACCAGCGCGTGCATTCGTCATTGAGCCTTCGTCAATGGAAGTCATGGAAACGACGTCAGCCTCTGCAACCCTATAAATGACGCTGACCTCCTGGAATCTTCCCCTTTGCTTCGAGACTTTTGAAGGAGACGCCAGAAGACGCTTAACGCCTCGGAAGGTTTCAACCTGTAGAGAAGTCTACTTTGCAAAACTCGCTGAAGAAGCTGTTGCTGAAACACGCACGTGCCGAAGAATCCCACAACCCGCGGAAGATGGATCCTGGCCCGGAGAAGCACCAGCAGGGTGATCAGCTGGAAGGTTAATATTATTACTCTACTATCTTGAATAAACAAAAACAAGTTATTACTGAAATAATAATGAATTGTGTAGTTTATTTTGTGTTTGTGTGCGTTTTTATAAAGAAATAATGCCTGCTGAACAAAGATAGACAAGTAGCATTCTTGCTAGCATTGACCTTTCTTAACTAATGAGCCTTTTTCTTGAATTAATTTCCAGAAAATGTCAGAAATGTTAAACTGTGGTGTCGTGGTTTAAGAAATACATGTATTTTACCTAATTATTGTCAAATGAGTTGAATTAATGTCAAATGCTTGTAAAATTGACCGTTATTTTTTGAAAAATGCTGATAAACAATTTGTTTCCATGGATACGCTAAATGAAATACATTAGCTATTTAATGTTACATTAAAAAATCAATTAACCACATGTATTTTCCCCTTTGATAGCCTGTAATTTAATCATTTAGTTTTATTATTTTTTCAAGATAGGGACATGTTGGTCTGTTGTTGTTTTAGCATAGCCAGGAATGCTAACAAGGGTGAATTGATTTGAAAAAGAACCATTTTGTTATCTTCTTTGAAATATGTATCTTCGATCATTCTCTCTTGGATTTGTGGGATGAAACTAATGTGTGAGTTAATTTAAATAGTTTTGTGATTTAGTGTACTGGGGTTTGTGGATGTTAGCACTAGTCTTTGAAAATAATTGTTATGCTAGTTTGAAATAAAATAAAACAAAAGGGGATCACCAGCTTGTTCTTGTTATTCCAATAATCGTATCGCACGAGGGACAAAACATATTTGGTTTCCATGGCAATGACATCAGACTTGAAGAGGTTAATTAGGACACTCAAAGACGCTTTACATAAAATCAGTAGTTTCCATTCATGCATATGTTCACACAATGATGAATATAAGCTAATGGATTGTAGCCACAGATGTTCTATCAAACCCCAGCAGGAAAGGTGGGTGAAATGTCTTGACCAAGGACACAACAGAGGCCGGCCATTGCAGAGCAAACTCCTACCACTGTCACCACCGTGACAAGCATCATATGTGTTCATGTGTGTCTGTGTCAAAATGACCATCAATCAAACTGATTTTCAAAAACAAAATAATTATTTCTTTGTCAAAATGAGCTTTTATGACTTTGGTGTCCAATTCTTGGCAAACTGCATAGTTCTTTGTCCATTTTTTGGAAAAATGCCCAAACATATTTAGTTTCCATGGATACATTAGATACAAGTGTCATTCAGAAAATCATAACACTTTTAATACAAAGTTGATATTATTCAAAATATCTTTGTTATGACAACAAACACATTTGTTGTCATAACAACAATTATGTTATAATAACAAATGTCAAAACATAACAATTATGACTTTTGTTGTCATCACAGTCTTATTCATAACCTGTCAAATAAAATGTTACCACATTTTTAGTGAGATTTTGGGGTTTTAACATTGCTTAAATAAAATGTTAAGCTAAAAGGTTATTTCTGGTTTTAGAAGATGTGTTTTTTTTTTTCAGATTTTTGGAATAAGAAGTCTGTGCTTGTTCCAGGTTTCAGAAAACGACTCAAAAACACATTTGCTCTTCTTGGATATGTTGTTTGAAATAAAACCTTAAAACTTGAAGTTTAGAAACGTTTTTAGATATACATATCTTTTAGATATAGTCATTTAAAAATGCTAACGGAAAGATACGACTTATTTTTTAATTATCTTATAGTGTTAGAGTTATGTAAGCAGTAATTTAAGTTTAATAGTAATAAATGGCTCATCTATCTTGCTTTGGCTATAAAAATAAAACTTACCTGCTGAGCAGCAATAAAGATTTGGGAGTTATAGGAGGGTAAAGTGAGTAACTTGTGGTATTTTAGTGTTCTTTTTAAACATTGCTTTGGATTTTTGTGAAGGTCTTGATACTGAACTATAATGTTTTTCCTGTTTTCCTTCACAGCTCTTAGTGTAGCGCTTCCAGCAGATGGATCTCCAACGTCGCAGGAACATCAGGATGATGGTAAGGAAGTTGGTAAGGTGTGGTCAAATGTCGACAAGTCAGACAACATGGTTTCTGGAGATCATGGAGAGGAGTCGAGGTGTAGTTCTCCTCAGCAGTCTGTTGACTATACTAACAGCTCTAGTGGTAGCTCCAGTCAAGATGACTGTTCTAGCAGTTCCAGTGATAGCTGTTTTAGCAGGTCTAGTGGTAGCTCTACTACCAGCTACAGTGGTAGCTCTGCTCCTATCTCCAGTGAAGAAGAGGTAGGTAACGAGTATACTAGCAGCTACGGTAGTATCAGCACTACCAGCTGCAGTCCAACAGTGGACCGTCCTTACGCTGAGCTGGAGATGGCTCAGAAGCTTCAAGAGGGCATTTCTCAATTGACCTCACTTGAATCTTCACATGGATTTGAGAAGCGGGAAGAGCCCACTTTAAGTCCAGACGACTCCAGACTTATTGGTACCTCCTCGCACCATCAGGTAGGTTTGGTAGGGGATGTGACTTGTGTGCCATCTGTCACCGGCTTAAACAGAAAGAGGACAAAGGACAGCGACTCTGAAGAGGAGCCCCCTGCCAAGAAGACTAGGGACACTGTTGCAGAAGAGGAGCTCTCTTTCAAGAGGACCAGAGATAGTGAAGATGCTGAAGAGGAGCCCCCAGCAAAGAGGTGTAGGGATAGTGAAGATGCTGAAGAGGAGCCTCCAGCCAAGAAGTTGAGGGAGAGTGGTTATGCTGAAGAGGAGCCTCCAGCCAAAACCCCCTACGAGAGTCAACCTAGAGATGGGCTCCCCTCCAAGAGAACCAGGGACAATGGTGCTGAAGAGGAGATCCCGGCCAAGAGATCCAGGAACAGCGATGATGAAGAGGAATCTTTTCTGCGTTCCACCACAATACGTTGAGTGAGGATCCGGTTTTGTCATCCCCTCGCCTCAGTCCCTCTCCCTTGCCATTCTGGGTGGATCCCATTTTTTCACCCATCAGTCTTTCACCTAAGAGTGCATGTGAGGATCCCTTTCTGCCCTCCCCTGTCTTCAGTCCCTCACCAAGATTGCCCTGTGAAGGTCCCATTGCATCAGTTCATTCCATCAGTCCCCCAGTCGGTGAAGATCCTGTTTTGTCATCCCCTGTCCTCAGTCGTCCACAAAGGATAGAGCGTAAGGATCCCATTGTGTCTTCACCTGTCGTTTGTCCTTCACCCTCAACAAACTGCAAGTTTCAAAGTTCATCATTCCCTTGCATGTGTGCCTGGATGAAGTCTCAAATGGACAAAGAAGAGGAGCCAGGACCTTCAACATCTGGAATTGGATCAGACAGAGCTCGAGGAAGAGTGAGTTCCGGACAAGTGTGGTTTAGACCTCGTTACGACTTGTCAAGCGATGACTCTGATTAGATTTGGATTTTGAAAATCTGAAGACCTACCTGACAAGTTCCATTACAATACCATAATTTTTCTGTTGTTTTTGTGAAAGCCTATGGCATTCTAGCAGGACCGAGGATGCCTTAGGTAGCGTCTTGCGCCGGGGCTTTTCTTTATCCCGCTGCTAGATTTTTTATTTTAGACGTTGAGGATTCTGGCAGGACCGAGGATGCCTTAGGTAGCGTCTTGCGCCGGGGCTTTTCTTTATCCCGCTGCTAGATTTTTTTATTTTAGACGTTGAGGATTCTGGCAGGACCGAGGATGCCTTAGGTAGCGTCTTGCGCCGGGCTTTTCTTTATCCCGCTGCTAGATTTTTTATTTTAGACGTTGAGGATTCTAGCAGGACCGAGGATGCCTTAGGTAGCGTCTTGCGCCGGGGCTTTTCTTTATCCCGCTGCTAGATTTTTCATTTTGGATGTCAAGAATTCTACTTGAACAGGCAATGCTGATTTTATTTGCTTTTAATCAAAGAATGATGAAATGCTGGGGGAGGCTAATTTAAATTCTGAGGAACAAGAGCATTCTGCTGAACAAAAAATCCTAAAAGGAGTCGGACATGGCTGGTGAATAAAAGATAAATGCTAAAAGAAAGAAGACATCGTGACAGGATTAATACTAAATCTAAAACAATCTTGCTGGGTGAAAATCAAACTTAAAAACGATTAAGACAACGTGGCTCGGGACACTGGAATCAATAAATTTGAGAACACTGCTGCAAATTTAAGACATGAAAAATAAAAAATGGAGATACAATATAATCGGTTGGGCTGTGGTATAAACGGATTTAAATTGCGGTTTTAAAGTTATAACCCTTCTGTCCTGGACATTGTAAACTGAGGCGTTTTTACGTATGAAATAACGACGGCGACAGTAACAACAGGAGTCAATTCAAATGTTCAAAGATGACAAATTGGAGAGAGAAATGGGCAGGTCCTTTGGATTCCGGAAATGAACTGTTGATCCATGGATCAATCATTTATCAAGTCAACATGTTAAAATGTCGTTGAACGCACGTGATAATGGTTATAAATATTGGTAATGTTGCTGGGCGTCAAACCTTAAATCTCTTAGGACTGAGAAGAGACAACGCTTTTTGGGACAAATTATCTCTCAACTCTTCTGCGGACAAATGAAATATTTCAGGTGGTGAGAAATCGAAAAGTTTTGGGACCAATATGATGCCATGGTGGACAAATTAAAATATACAGGAATTAAAAAAACCCGCGGAGTACAAACTAACATCTTTAAGGATCAAAGAAAAAGACAGGTAAATATTTGGTTAAGGCTTGGTACAGTGACTTGGACCACCATAGATATTTTCTGAGGACCACCAGGAGCTGCAGTCACCTTTCAAGTAAGTCAACAGTAAGTATTAGTCCCAGACAGAGCAGCGCGCAGTGAGACTGCTTCTTCCAAGATTCTCTGTGCTTGTCTCAGAGTGCAGGAGCGGTCCTTGCCCTCACGATGCTCTCTAATATAGTAAATTGTCCTCACCTGTTCCTTCATTAATCCACTCTCCCAGTTTTAATCTTTCAGGTTTTAGCTGCTCTTCGCTGGATTTTTCCATTGTTGTCCATGTGGTTCCTGTCCTTGTGGTTCCTGCTTGTAAGTTTTTGCATTCCACAACTCATAATACTGCTTGCCTCCTGCTGGCATTGGGGAGCATCAGCTTTACTAAATAAACAAAAAGAAAATTCACTATTACTGGAAAGTGTTCCTCCATTATTCAAATTTACACTAAGTAAGGATAGTTTCCTGATAACGTTTCATATTAGAGATGTAATCAAAGCATCAAGCCAATAAGAAATTAGAAGACAGAGGAGAACATAGACAAAATTTATGTTTTAGGGATTTAAGTAAGAGTTTTTATTCAGAAGGAAATAAAATATGTTCATATTTACATGAACATATTTGAAAGATCACAAAAAGAGAATTGACATTAAAAAATACAGACACTAGTCTCTGATCCTGGGTCCAGACGTTTCAGATCTCTGATGTTCTGATCATCCCAGATTGGATCTTCTGACCCTGGAATCCTCCATCTTCAACACCGTCAGTCAGATGAAGGAAGATTATCTCATGAAGTCAGATAAGAGAACCCAGTTGACAACAAAAATAAGAACATTTATATCTAGACAACATAACTAAACATTTCAGATGTAGCTGCATAGAGTTGAGCTGAAATTTTAGAATCTGATTCTGTTGTCCTCTTTGACTCTGTTGTCTTTTCTCTTTGTTTCATTTGTCCGTCAACTCATGTCACATGACGTGAGTTGACCAACAATAAAATCAGAAGACCTGCTCCACCTGCTGTTCTACTGGTTGTAAGAGATTGTTGGAAAGGTGAGGACATGATGATGACTTGATCAGAAAGTCTCCTTCTATCATATAATATTTAGACTCAATGTGTGTCTGATTCTTTGTTGATTCTCCTGCATCACCAAGACAAGACAACAACACTGGACCAATGAGGAGAGAGGAGACACAAAATCCTGCTGGAAATCCAGAGACGTTTTCTGATCCATCAGGGGGACAGCTGAGGACGGGATGCAGAACAAAGAGACTGAGATCATCTGAAGTGGATCCTCATCAACCTGCAATCCTCCACCTTCAACACCACCAGTCAGGTGGAGGAAGATAAGAGAACCCAGTTGACGAAAAAAGTAAGAACATTTATATCTACACAACATAAGTAAACATTTCAGATGTAGCTGCATAGAGTTGAGCTTAAAGTGAGAAACTGGTTCTGTATGCTGTCCATGCATATTTTTCCTCTTTGACTCTGTTGTCTTTTCTCTTTGTTTCATTTGTCCGTCAACTCATGTCACATGACGTGAGTTGACCAACAATAAAAGCAGAAGACCTGCTCCACCTGCTGTTCTACTGGTTGTAAGAGATTGTTGGAAAGGTGAGGACATGATGATGACTTGATCAGAAAGTCTCCTCCTATCATCTGTTATTTAGACTCAATGTGTGTCTGATTCTGTGTTGATTCTCCTGCATCACCAAGAGAAGTCAACAACACTGGACCAATGAGGAGAGAGGAGACACAAAATCCTGCTGGAAATGCAGAGAAGTTTTCTGATGCAGGGGGACAGCTGAGGACAGGATGCAGAACAAATAGACTGAGATCATGTGAAGTGGATCCTCATCAACCTGCAATCCTCCACCTTCAACACCACCAGTCAGATGGAGGAAGATAAGAGAACCCAGTTGACGAAAAAAGTAAGAACATTTATATCTATACAACATAAGTAAACATTTCAGATGTAGCTGCATAGAGTTGAGCTGAAATTTTAGAATCTGGTTCTGTATGCTGTCCATGCATATTTTTCCTCTTTGACTCTGTTGTCTTTTCTCTTTGTTTCATTTGTCCATCAACTCATGTCACATGACGTGAGTTGACCAACAATGAAATCAGAAGACCTGCTCCACCTGCTGTTCTACTGGTTGTAAGAGATTGTTGGAAAGGTGAGGACATGATGATGACTTGATCAGAAAGTCTCCTTCTATCATATGATATTTACACTCAATGTGTGTCTGATTCTGTGTTGATTCTCCAGCATCACCAAGACAAGACAACAGCACTGGACCAATGAGGATAGAGAAGACGCAGAGGACTGAGGAGACACAGAAAATCCTGCTGGAAATCCAGAAAAAGTTTTCTGATGCATCAGGGGGACAGCTGAGGACAGGACGCAGAACAAAGAGACGGAGATCATGTGAAATGAATACTCATTAGCCTGGAATCCTCCAAATTCAAAGACGTCAGTCAGATGGAGGAAGATAAGAGAACCAAGTCCACCATGTTTTCCAGTCTTGTGTAGTTTTCCACATAGGATTCCCAAGTCTTTGGATGCACTAGGCCACATTCAGTTGTCACTCTCAACTGCTATGACTATTGTTGAAAACTGTTGTAATGCTTAATTGTATTTACATGTAAATATTAGAAATGAACATTTTTGTGTCATCAAAAACTTACAATAAAGAGTGAAATACTATTGACACATGGCTGATTTTTTTTTCTTTTGTTTTGTTTTGACAAATTATTTTTGAAATCTGCCCAAACAGGCAGCTAATTAAGCAGATGTTAATTAAATAAATGAGAAAAACAACAACAACAAAAAAAACCTTGTTAGGAAGGTGGTACATGGCGTCTGATTTACCAGATGCACAGTGAGACTGTTTAGCAGGCCTGATGGTGTTTGTAGTTCATCTTTCCCTGCTTTCATCAATGTCACATTGCAGCATACCATGAACACAAACCACACTAGACATGTCTGATCATGAGTGCCACTAAAGATGTGTCTCTTCTTCAAATGATCCATCAGATCATCAAGAATTGGGACTAACAACAAACCAAAATTAAAACAAATTAAGAAAAATTTCAGCAGAAAAGACAAAAACTGTCTTGAATGACTTCATTGGTTTTCATTAAATTGATAACTTTTTTAATTTGCTCTTCAAAGAGCAAAGGCTCAT